TATTGAATTCATGAATATGGATATTCATGAATATTGAATTCATGAATTCTAACTTCTGTAATATATGATGCTTATTCTTGCACCCGTTTGCTCCCTCTCCTCCCCTCTTCCCTTCTCTCCTGTCCTTTCTTTAGTCTTCAGAATAGTCTTGTGTCATCTGAAGCAAAAACAGCCTAGTGGAAAAAGGAATCACACAGAGGCACTTAGCTGGAACATTTCACTGTGTGGATAATCAAACACACTGTTTCTCTGGCTGTCCCTACCCTGTACTCTCAGAGCCCAGACTGATTGTAGGCTCCTTAACACCAGCCCCAAATGTGCCTCTTTAGCTCAGAATCTTAATCTTACATTGTCCTCTGAAGCAGTTGGGTGTTCAGCTCTGCATAACTGAGAAGGAATTTAGAAGGGCTTTATTCTTCTGGAATCCCAAGAGGACTCAAAGTAGGGCTGAATCAAACCTGGTTCAGAACTTCAGTAAAAATGATAATAGCTAGCATTTATATAATGCTTATTATGTGCCAGGCACTGTGCTAAGCACTTTACAAATATTAGCTTACTTGATACTCACATCAGCCATGGAAGACAGGTGCTGTTATCCCCATTTTTACAGTTTAGAAAACTGAGGCAAGTAGGTTAAGTGACTTGCCCTGGGTCACGCAGCTAATCAGTATTTGAGGCCCTGACTCTATCCCCAATGAACCTAGAACCTGCCCATATTTTCTGAGGGTAATGGAATCAGCATTAGTCCAAAGTCTGATGGTTCTGCTTATAGACTTAGCTGAGCTAGAAAGACCTGAAACCGCAACCTAAATTTCCACTAGAGTTGGTCAGAGTTCTGCATCTGGATTCAGAGACCATAAACCAAGGTTACCCCCCTTTATCATTGGTTCTTACTTAAAATTACTGATGAGCAAGGTCTCGGCTCTGATTCTAATGAAATACTTTCCATTTTTCTCTTTTGAGGTCAGATAACATCAGAATTTTTTGGTGGAATCCTTGGGAAGGGTCTTGATGAGATTTAATTCATTGTTCTGATAGTGCAAAAGAACTGGGATTTAAGAATCCCTTAAGGGAGGCAGCTAGATGGCGCAGTGGATAGAGCACCGGCTCTGAAGTCAGGAGGACCTCAGACCAAACACTTGACACTTACTAGCTGTGTGACCCTGGGCAAGTCACTTAACCCCAATGGCCTAAAAAAAAAAAAAATAATCCCTTGAAGGACCAAGCTGAGTCAATTGTTTCATTTTTTTTCATCCATAAGGCAAATAAAATAGCATTGGGTAAGATGAAAATTTTTGTTTTAAAGAAAATTATATTTTTATATCAGTTGACACACTTGTTTTTCTTGTATTAAAACACAATTTCTAGTATGGAAGATGGAGGGATAGGATAGCAGATGATGGAAAATTTTGCTACTGGCTTTTTAGATTAAATACTTTTTACCCTCAAATTCCATTTTTTCTCCAATTATTCAGTACCCTCCTCTCTTTCCTCCATCCCCCACCCCTTCCACTGCTAGATCTCATTCTTTTCTATATCTTTTGCTGCCAGAAAAAACAGTGTCCGAGTCAGATGACTTCTCCAAGGGCCTTAAAGGGGAGGTGGGACCCCGTGACTGGCTCCTCAGAGAAGAACAGAAGCCAGTCAGTCCCCTTAGCCTAGAATCTTAATAACCAAGTTAGAAGACTTAGGTTCTAATCCTTGCTTTGCCACTAATTGGCTATTTGGCCTTAGCTAAATCATCACAACACTCTGTGCCTCAGTTTCTTCATTTTTAAAAAAGAGAGTTGGATCAAATGATCTCTAAGATCTCTCCCAGCTTTAATGTTCTGTGGTTCAACAGGAAACCAATCTTGCCTTTGGAAGAGAAAGGTGAAATAGAAAGGTTTCCCAGTAGAAAGGAAACCAGCCATCAGCTCAGATTGATGGGTAGAACATGGGTGTATATCTTTGCCACAGAGGGAACGGCCAGCATTCCTTCCCTGTGAGTGAGGTTAGGATGAAAATGCCCCGTAGACATCAGCCTGAAGGAACCATGGTCCCGCTGCCTTGATTTTAGAGCATCTGATTTCTGAGCTCTTCTCATTTGCCTACATGTGGACAAAGTGTTGCTAACTCTCGCTTTGGGTTTCTTCCTTTCTAGACTGCAGCCTCCTTCTGATGATCAGCAGGTAACCCATTCTTTTCTTGATCATGGAGAGTTCTTCACAGCACCTGCCTAAAATCTGAAGTGGGCTCGACTAGACCCAGCTAGGAAGCCAGATAGTGCGGGAGGTGGACACGGGGCTCTCGCTGGCCACGGGAACACCACTGCTGCACCATGTCAGCTTACTGACTTTAGCCAAATGCTAAACAAGATGCAGCTCTCTCACCTTAACTGGTTAGAACTAGCCCGGACCATTAACCCCAAGGACGTCACTTGTTTGTGGCACCTCAGCCACTTGTACTCTTATTATTTACCATTTGCTGTTTATATTATTTATTAATAATATGGGGGCAGCACAGTGGCACAGTGGGTAGACTGTGGGCCTGGAATCAGGAAGACTCATCTTCTTGACTTCATATTTGGCCTCAGACACTTACTAGCTGTGTGACCCTGGGCAAGTCACTTAGCCCTGTTTGCCTTAGTTTCCTCATCTATAAAATGACCTGGAGAAGGAAATGGCAAATCACTCCAGTATCTTTGCCAAGAAAACCCCCAGGTGGGCTCACAAAGAGTCAGACATAAATGAAAAATAACAAATTAATAATATAGTAAAATATATTTCATTAATATACTATTATAATTGATACAGTGCTTTAATATTAATATCACACTTTAATATTAATACAATACTTAATAATTTAATATAATAAAATTATACTATTATAATTAATATAATGCTTTAATATTGATTAATACAATACTTTATAACATAAGTAATATAATACTTTATATTATATAATTAATATGTTATTTACTTCCCTATCCATATGATGGAGAGAGCCTTATTGTATGTGCCATTATGAGAAATCATTAAAATGCATTTTGCTTCAGAGAGGAGTAGATCCATGTGGCCTGATAAAATTAATAATCTGTAGTGTACACCCCAGAGTGGGACAGGGGCCGTTCCTCACATGCTCCCATGTGTTTTATAAAGAATTAGTATATAAAGGACATTAGGGCCTCATAAAGCTTCCATTTCTGATGGGGTTGTATAGAGAATGCAACACCACACAAAGGAAAGTTATGTGAATATTTAAAAATTAGAATTATGTACAAGTGTTGATCTAAAATATTTTTCCTTTGGAAATTTGCCCATTGTTTTAATTAGTAGAAAAGATTGACGAACCTGATTAGTAAGGACTGCCATTTTTTATAGCGTTGTAAGTTTTGTAGCTCGCTATACCTCGCTTCTCACTGGATCCTCAGAACGACCCTTTTTGTAAAGCCCACCTTGACTAGACAAAGAAGGCTTAGTATGGGGCCTGATCAAAAAGCAAAAAGCAGTTGGGTACAGGAGGGAAGAGAACATTAAAGAATGTGCTTAGAACCAAGAGCAACTAACCAGCTGTCCGTGTTGGTGCCTTAGGATCAGCCGTCCCTGTTGAGAAAGCTACAGAGATGCCAGCTGTGCCATGAAGAGGGCAGCACCACCAAGGTAACGAACTCTCAGGGAAGAATGGGCATGTTGCCGTAATGGCGTGGCACATTCATTTGAACTTTAGAATTTGGAAGAGTCATCTATAGGGAAAGCCTTGGGCTCAACCAGGGCCCCAGACATGTAGTTATCCAGAGTGCTTGGAATTCTCCAATGAAAGAGGACTCACTCTTTCTGGACCAAACCCATTTCACTCTTGAACAGATCGAATGTTTAAGAGATTTTTCCTACTCCAAGCCAAAAATTTGTCCCTCTGTAGCTTCTACCTCTTCTTCTAATTAATGCCAAAAAGAGTCAGTCTAATCTTCTCTTCAAATACCTGAAGACAATAAGAATGTCCCCCCTGCGTCTTCTCCAGTTCCTTCTCCCAGTCCTCACATGGCATGGTCTCATGGTGTTCCAACCTATAAATGTCTTTCCTCGATGTCCTTAATGTCTCTTAATGTCTTGTCTTTGGAGCCTAGACTGAGGCAGTCCTCCGATGTGATCTGACCAGGGCGGTCAGCTCCCTGTGCCTCTATTCTCAGATTTATTGGCTCAGACATCACAGTTGATATTGACCCGTGTTCTAAAGCATTTCTCTTTGAAAGGGGAGAGTCATGTATTTGGAAATTTAGGTAATATTAAAAACAAATAACAATAAAATTAAATTTTTAAAAATCCAAGAAACGATCTCAAATACTGTCTTCTCTTTTTTTGGAAATTGGGACATCAGGTCAGTAAATGGCTCCTCATCTCCTCTTCCTCAGCCCATGACTACAAGAACTCTCTCGATGGACCCATGTTGTTGTGCCTTAGAGCCCAAAATAACCTCTCCTTCCTCAGCAACGGTTAGCTCAGCTCCAAATGAACCCTTTCCTTCCCCATGTTACATTCTTCTTACCCAACACAGGCCCATCTTGATTCTTTTCACTCCCTTCTGTATTTCCTCTTCCCATCTCTCCAGGGAGGGAAGGCAACCGTCTGGAGAGGGGCTGAACGCTCAGATTTACATCCGAGGCCCCCTGGCAGCTCAGCTTTTCTACCTTTATTTGATGAGCTCAGGAAATGCAAAGGTAGCTAGCTAGGAATCTCTCTGGAAGTGAAGGTGATGATATATAACACTTAACATTAAAACAAAAAAAGGAATGGTCTTCTCAAGGCCAGCCACTGACATTACCCATTGTTTCCTTCTTAAAAGAGATAGCCATAGAAAAATTCTAGTTTTGATGTTGACTCTTTTACCACCAACACATCGCTTCAATTGTTAAAGGTGTTGAATCATGATAACTCTTAACTTTTACCTGGATTGTCCTTGGCAAACATTTTATTCCCTGCCAGTGGGTAGGCCAGCTCTTCCTACTTTTAGTTGATGTGCACTCAGAAGTGGAAACGAATTTTAGTATTAGCTAAAGATAAACAATTAGATCCTCCTAATCTAGGGGGAGATAAGTAGGTGTAATGCATTATAATAATCGATCTGCCTCTTCGCTGTGTTACTGCATATTGCTTTAGTATAAATAATTAATGACGTGTTCAGCTTTGGTTGTAAACCTACTAACCGCCTCTTAAACCTTTGGGGCTCTTTGTGGTTTGGACCAGATCTCATTTCATCCATGTCGGAAGCTCCAGTCGGCACCTGTGCTGCCAGTTGATTTGGGAGCTAAGAGGTTAAATGATTGCCTTATCCTTTTTCTTGAACCAGGGGTGGGAAGGAGGGAGTGAATTTGGAAATCACAGTTTTTTTACATGAATGTAAAGATTTTTTTTTCACATAAATATTTAACAAAATAAATAGAAATATATTGAGGTTAAATGATTCACCTAGGGTCACGCAGCCAGGCAGTGTATGTCAGAGACGGGACTTGAAGTCAGGTCTCCTTGGCTCAGGCTGGTTCTCTTTTTTGTCCTCCACATTGCTTCTGTGTACAGTATTTTAAAGTTTATAAAGGGTTCTTTTCCCATCAGGTAAGCACATGTTATCTATCATGGTCCCCATTTTGCAAATGACACAATTAAGGCAAGTGTTTCCTAGTACAAGAAGTGTGCATCAGGGACCCAGGAAGTACCCACTGACACATTCACCATTCCGTCTACTGATTTCTGGTTGTCTTACTCCCATCTTTCCTCTTCATTGCAGAATGTGTGCAAGAATTGTGGAGGCACCTTCTGCCAGGCCTGCTCAGCCAGCGAGCTGCCCCTCCCTTCCAGCATCAACCCTGAGCCAGTTTGCAATCCTTGTCGCGACCACCTGTTGAAACAGTACTCGGTCAGCCCATCCTAAGGCTGGGAACCAGACTGGGGACAGATGGCTTCATCCTGGGCTAAGGGGCAGGAGCTCGCACCAAAGGCCACACCTTAGAATCAGCCAGGACTTGCAGAGGGAGAGAAATCTGACGTCACAGGAGCCAGGCAGGGAGGGTGGGTGTTCGGAGAGCTCAGAACGACCTTCCCTCTTTCCACAGTGACGACAGATAAAAGCTCAGTTGACTTTTGTCTCCCCTTCAAAGTGTCCTCCCTTCCAGAGTATATTTATTGTATAGAATGACTTTAGATGGCCAGATAAGCTCAGGAACAGAGGCAGGGTCACTTGCTGAAGAAATTGTTCAAACCATTGGAGAAAAATAATTTAGCACGTACAACCAAGTTTCCTTTAGACCTGTTGAATTGGCAGGTCCAAGGAAGAGCAAATGAGAAAGGTCATTTTTTTCTCCCACTGGATGCTGATGAGTTCATCCTCCCATCCCCTCTAATCGTCTTTGTCAAACTGTGAACACGACCTCAGGGATACTGGGTATATATTCTGAACGTACTTAACACAAGGTGGCTTTTTCTTTAATCTACTTTTAGCATCAAGAGGTTTCTGCTGTTGGCCTAAATTCTTTCTGCCAGAATTGCAAGAGTAAAGTGGGGACTTTCCCCAAGTCCTTACCACAAGCGCCCTGCTGAAGTCACCTGTTGGCCAACATCTAAATTCCAATAGGCCAGTCCTATAGAAAAAAAGATCAATGCTTCCAGAGTCCTCAACAACACCTGTTGGGGTGGAAATTTTAGGAAGTCCTTGCAGAAGTGGGGACTATGGTTGTGAAATGTCCCATCGGTCAGACTGTTGTCTTTCCTCTTTCAATCTTTATTACAGAGGACTGCTTACTGAGGGTAAGAAAGGGATCTATTCAGAAACAGGTGAAATGAAAAGGCATCAATTTGAAAGCTATAGGAGGGTCATTACAAGGACTTTAGCTTGAATGTGGAGAACTGGTCTTGGTCAAACCAAGCAGAAATTAAACCTGGATTTTATTTGTCCACAACTGAGAGTGGATGGCTCTGAAACGATTGTGACTTTAACCAGTTTTAACAGTTACTTTTTCTCGGCTGGACCAGTGATTTAGAAACACAAAACATGTCTTCATAGCAGAAGCAAGGGTTTGGCATTAATGGCACCCTTTATTTGATGGGTCACACTGAGACAACCCTTGGTAGAAAGGAAAGGGAGGTAAGACATGGAATGTTTATTCCCTTTAGAAAATCTCTGTGGGAGAATCACGAGACAAGGGTATTTGGGTGACCTTGCCCCACCTTCAGCTGGAGAAAACACAACATTCTGCTTGGACTTCAAACTCCTAAGAAAGAAATAACTTAGTCCAGTAATACTTTTCTTAAAAATGTCGTTTGCTAGAAAGGATATGGGGTCTGAGAAGAATAAGGTTATCTTCTTAAGGAATGTTGGAGAAATCCCTCAGAAAACTAACAGTGCCACTGGGTAAGGTTGGCATTCGAGATTACTGAGGAAAGTTAAACAGTGATTTGTGATTTTTACTACTGATTTTTTTCTATCTAGGCTTCTCAGGAAGTACAAGTTACTCCAAAATGGCAAAGGTGTTTGGGATCTGTCAGCCCTAAGGAGGTGTGAATTCATTGTTCAAGGTGTCTATCTATTCGATGAGGTTTTGTTTTGATTTTCAAAAAATAAAGCCTCTAATGGAATCTGGGTGCTTTGTTATTACTACAGTAATTGAAGGAGATGAAGGGATTACTAGTATTACTGCTTTTCTCTGGAAGAATTAAGAATATATAGAAAGGGACACCAGCAGTTTAGTCCAATAGAGATCCCGAATTGACTAAAGGCACTAAAGTGTACAGCAGATTGCCCCCGAAATTAGATTATTTGCACTAAAGAGTGCTTTAAGAGGGGGCTGAGATCTCTGAAACTTTTAGTCTGCTCTGTAAGAGGTGGCCTGCATCCCTCCACAAGCCTGATACAGGGTCATTTTGCAGAAGACAATCTGCTGCTGCCTCTGCTAATCCAGGATCTATAGAGCCCATTAAAACAATCTTATTAAATGAGTTGACAGCTAAGAATGAAAATTCCTGCTTTTCTATGCAGAAGCAGTTATTTTAAGAGTTTCTAAGCCCTGAAAAGAAAAACTTTTTCAGATTAAATCTCTCTAGTTGATTCTTGTAGATAATTTCATCTTCATCCCCACTTGCAAACCCAAGGTTTACTGATGTCCTTATTTCGCCCCACCATATCCACTGTTTTGAGTTTGTTAGGAACATCAGATTTATACTGACTAAATGAACTTTTAAAAAATACTGTTTTTCTAACAAATTGGCTTTGTTCCCTTTAGTCACTAAAGGCCTGCTTGGTTGAGGACTCCAAATCCAAAGATTTTGGACACTCCTAATATAAATAGCAGCCTTTTGTGGTCCTGGAGCAACAGATAAGTGTCTAAAGAAAGAGTAGGAAGGTCTCTTGACGTGTATATAGGATCAGCTTCCAGAAATACTCTAAAAGCATTGCCAGGCCAAAAATAATGCTGAGGGTAGTATCACAACAAAAAACTTGATGGTTAAGCCTATGAGAAGAGGAATGGACCAGGCCTTTCAGTATTCCAGTGCGTGAATCAGACTGCTCATTTCCCAATTTTCCGGTGTTTTTCTTCACTTCAGATCAAGTAAGTCACCCAACTTGGGCTGTCAGATCTTGGGGCTCCCTCCAAAGCAGGGGTTCCCTTAGGTCGTAGATAGATTTCTAGGGTGTTCCCTCGACTGACTTGAATTCAAAGGTTGTAGAACAGTTTTGTTCTTAAATAAATTTATTTGGTGATCTTGTTTTCTAGTTGTTTTTTCCCTCTGATCCATTTCTATTACTTTTCTACCCTCTGCTAACCAGACCGCTTCCCATGTAGCTTCCGGAATAATTTTCTATACCAGTGTTATGGACGTGGTTCTCTCTTTTCCTACTCCACTCACATATATATTTTCATTTTGATTTCAGAATACCCTTGGGTAAACAGATGAAAAGCTATTTCATTTTTGGAAACAGATGAACATAAACTGAACCCTTTAAAGGGCCTCCATTCTCTTAGACCAAACAGGTCCTATCTGAAGAGTGTCCCCGCTTCACCAGCCCTAACAGGGGAAACTTCCACTAAGAATTGGAATGTTTGATCCTGTCCAGAAGGGACTGTCTGTCCTCTGGACTCACACAATCCCATTCTATCATGTTTTCTGCCTCCTGTCCCAAGGCTGTCGGTAAGATACGGCTCTTAAGTCATTATACCTTCCACATACCATTTAATGAATTTGATACATTATCTCACAGGAGACCTTGTTCAAAATAACTGGAGAAAAAAGGTGACAATGAGCCATTTCCCTCATGTGGTTTAGGCCCTTACCTGATTCCTCCTTTGATAAACAGGTGTTAGTGGCATAGAATTTTCTTTGCACAATTAAGCACAACATATTTCCATTAGGCTGGGACCAGTTACCCTAATTTACGTTATTATAAGTTTGAATAGCATGAACTCAGCAGATCCGATACTTTTGATAATTGGGTCTCCTGCTACCAATCGCTCCCCAAATGACTGGGCATTTGCAGCCCAGCCCCCGTTCTTGACCAGGTGCTAGGGGGTGCCAACCAAAGCGAGGGAGAGCACACTCGAGAATTTGGCCACTCATGGCAAAGGAAACCTCTTGGCAGTTTGCCATACCTCAAAAAACCTCACTTGTCCCTTGCCCAGAAACGGGTCTTCCCATGGAACATTAAGGATGGGTTCTTCGTGTCCATGTCATCATGCACCTGGTACTGACAACAAGGTTCAACTTTCTGAGGCATAAGCTCCAAAATGGGGCTCGCTAATGAACCTCTAGGAACAGTGACAACCAGCATGGTATTGGACAAGGGGAGGGGGGCAGCCATTTATTTCCACTTCAGCTGGTAAACCTGAATTACAATGCACGTGCATAGACACACCATGAATAAATACTCGTCAGTCTGAAATAAGCCTTCATTTATTGACTAACTTTACAGTCCAGTGATTTGATATTTTTAGCTGGTAATTACATATGGTAATGTATTATGTGAGAGAAGACAAAGCTCCCCTCTTCCAGACACCATCTCCCACAGTCCTGGGGTAATTAGTTTTCAGAAATTTGATTGCTTCTCCTGGTAAACTAGCTGACTGTCATCCTGAGAAGAGGCGCAGCAAGGGGGAGGGGAAAGCATACAGCACTTGGATTCACCTGGACGGGTGCACGTCGACTTAGGTGAAGCACAAAACTTTGGAGTTGGCGGCTATGAATGGGTTAAGTGAAGGAGCTATTTAAAAGAGTAAACCAGAAAATACTGCCACAGTGTGAGGAGCACAGCTTTATCTACAAGCCTTCCTGGGACTGATCCAGTCCATGCTTCATGTAAGCAAGGCACTGCACCGAGCTTTGGGACCGCACGCATGCACCTGTGCTTATGGAGGGGAGGAGGATGGATGGACGGACGGATGTTGGGAACGACAAAGGCGAGCTTTGCTCAGGAGGTGCTGACGCAGGCAGACGGAGAGCTCGCCTAAAGCCGCTGCCCTCCACGCTCCGGACTTGTGAGCTCTGTTGTTTCACTTGGTTCAAAACTGACCCCACGAGGGGTGTGCATTTTTTTTTAGAGTTCAGGCACCTTTAAGATGAAGTTAAGATTCCCTTAACCTATAGCACTGCTTAATTACCATGTAAATTCACCAGGCACCAATGTTAGATATCATAAGGCTTAAGGGACCACAACATTTATATTAAGAAAACCGGCTTCCACTAACAACCAGGTATGTTGTCAGCTGGGGTTCCCACCCCTCCTGACTGGTTATGGTTATACCTGAAGACTACCTACCCTGCTTCCCCCAAGTTCAGAAACCTTTCCCTGCTTTGGTGAGTGTCTGGTTGCAGTCGTCAATACTTTGCTACAACTACAGCCTTCAAACTAGGAGTTCTGCCTCAGGGTTCTCCATCCACAGAGAACAAAACCTTTGTCTAAGTTATAAAAACAAGGTTAACTGAATAAAAATGAAGAGTAGCTGGGTTAGGTCTGCTCTCCCCATCAAGCTGTGTGGGCATACGAATAAAGATCAGATTTTCAATCAGATCCTAGACAGTATAAACAAAAATTTAAATGGGTGGTTTATTTCATAATCCCAAACTGAATCTTCTTTCTAAACAGTCAGCTATGGAATATTTCTTAAAAGCTATTAAACCCCACACCCCACGCCCCCCCACAAAAAAAATTTTTTTCCTAGACAAAGCTGCTGATAAAACTCTGGATTCCATGTCCAAGATAGGTGTGCAAATGAAATGCTTCTTGCTTCATCCTGAAAATAAAACCACAAGAAACCATTCTGAACCTTTATCAAATTAAGAAGGAAAACAAACTGCTTAAAACTTTATCAATAAAACTGAAAACTGGGTAGGTGCACCTCCCTCCCCAAGCTGTTGTGAGGATCAAATGAGATCATATTTGTAAAGCACAGTGTCTGGCACATACAAATGCTAACTATTATTATTGACGGTTGGTATGAGGTTAGATAGCCCTTGGAGGAAATTCTGGCAGAAAACATTTTATGTACTGATGAAAACTTAAACCTATGGAGTTTTAGCAAGCAATACTAAAAGGGAGGCTTCCTTATAAAATACAATTTTTGGAAAAAAGAGATGAAATAGATTTCAACACCAAAAATCTCTTGTGCCCCTGACCTGGCTCAGACACCGACCACACCCCCAGCAGTGAAGCACTCTCCGTGTGTTCATTCCCAAGAGACTGTCCCAACGGAGCCTGCCTCAGGAAGAGCTGCTGTTGCTCAGCCAACTGCAGCTCCTGACCACTGGCCCACCAGCTCTCCATGCCCTGACTGCCTGAGACATCCCTCCTCTGCCCAACGTTCATTGTGCTTTTTCCTAAACAATGGGGATGGATCCTTTCTGGAAGACTTACTAAAAGGCATGAATGAGAATCACAGATCCATCCACAGACATAACATAACCATGGTTATGCTCTATAAGGTTGCCAAGACAAAATAACTTTTGCAACCACACTGTCAATATAGAATACCCAAACCTCACACATTATTTGGCAGTGAACCATTTGTGAAAGTGTTCTAATGTGGTTCTGCCTAACATCACGTTTCACAGAACTAATTACCAACGGCGAGTATTCTGAGCTCATCAAAGAGGAACACTTTTTGCCTTGCTGCAAATTTATGGACCCTCCTAAGTAATGATTATTTTTTCACAGGTGATCTTAAATTTACCTTGTCATATGGATTCAATGATGTTCCTGGAAACTCTATTTTCCTTTTGGACAAGAATTCAGGAACAGCTCAATATACCTATGCTCTGAAGAGCACCCAAAAATAATAACAAAGCACTGATTAAAGGGGGGGGGACGACAAACAGATCAGGATTTCCCACTGCTCAGCCACCAACCCAGCCCTTCCCAAGACTCTTCTCCATTGTTTTTTTTCCCCCTTTTTAAGAACTTGGACCGAGAAATACATTGTACTTAATTCTGAGTATACTTATAAATATACTTGTTCTCTTCCTCTAAATACAATGTAATCTCCTTGAGGTTAGTGATCCTTATATTCTCAGCACAAACTATTTCTATTAATAATGGCAGACATTGGTTGTTCTATCTACACTTAACATATGTAAATATGCCCAGAAGCCTTTTTGCAGTATAATATAATGCCACTGGGCTTATTCAATAAATACATATAGATTATGTTTTCTTCTCCAGTAAGGTCTATCTAGTAAATTTATAAAGTGAAAAATTAGATATGAAAACTTTCTGATGCAAAAAACTAATTAATTCTAAGTATTGTTAATAAAAACTGTCACAGTGTATAAAATCCTTCCCATCTGGTAATGGCTTTGTAATCATAAAGTGCTCTTTCACCTCAAGGATATCTGCACAATTGCCATTAGGTTCAAAAATAAATCTTTAAAGTCAGTCCCAGGGGCAGCTAGGTGGCACAGTGAATAGAGCTCTGGCCTTGGAGTCAGGAGGACCTGAGTTCAAATCCAGCCTCAGACACATAACACTTACTAGCTGTGTGACCTTGCACAAGTCACTTAACCCCGATTGCCTCATCCAAAAAAACATAAAAATAAAAATAAAAATAAATTAAAGTCAGTCCCCCAGGAGTTAAGTGTGATCAAAGGATATGAGCAAACAGGTCTCAAAAGAATAAACATTGACCATGTGAAAGATGATTCCAAATCTCTAATAAAAGACATACAAATCAGAACAAACCTGTTTTCACCCTTCCTTCACACACACAGCAGACTGACAAAGATTACCCAAAATGTTCATGGGATTAGAGGGGCTGCAGAAATGGTCCAATCAATCCAGAAGGATCTTGGGAATTATACCAGAAATGACTACAGCTTCCATACCCTGTCACCTAGAGCACATACTTAGTATATATCTCCCAAGGAGGCCAAAGATAAAAAGGCCCCAAAATATTCATTGCAGCACTTTTTTGGATAGCAAAGGGCTGAGAACAAAGGAGGCTGGGGAATGGCTAAAAAACATTTCCGTGTGTGTGGTACGCGCCCCTAGCAGAATGCCGCCGGGCACAGGCAGCCACAGGCAGTCACCCAAGTGCAGCCACACTGGCTCCAAGGCAAGCGCCCTGTGGCTGTGGTGGGGTGGGAGAGCAAGGAAGGTGACCTCTGCCGGGAGGGGCAGGGGACCAGGATGGGTGCCACCTCCTGCCCGCTGGGATGATGGCTGGGGTGGGGTGTCTATTTTAAAAAAGAACGATCATCAACACCACAAAAATTTAAGTAAACCTCCAGGGCTGGAAAGCTTCAGCAGACTGAGTGTAATGCAAATCTGAAGCACACTTAGGGAAGCTTCTGAAAACACAATTTACTCTGTGCCGTACCGCTAAGAGGACAGCTTTCCAAACAAGCTGCCGGGCCAGGGAAGGCCTGGGAGCCTTCCTGAGCCTCTTCGGCAGTGCACACAGGAACACCACTTACGCACGTGGGACCGATCCTTGCCCATCGCCGCCACGGCATCCTCATGGGTCTCGAAGTGCACATCGGCTTCTCCCGTGGCCTTCCCGCTGGAGCTGTATTCCATGGTGATCCGAACAGGCTTCAGCGGAGCGAAAAACTACATGGACAACACAGAGAGAGACACCAGAAGGTTTGCGTCTGTCCGACCGTCCGTCATGCTGTCCCTCATGGCTCCTGCCCACACTATCCACTCCTGGCTGACTCGGTCCTCTTCCACATTGGGCAGCATGTCACCCACCACTTCTCCTGTCCCTGCTGCCTGAAGCCAAAATCCAAGGCCATCCTCCATCTCAAGTTCAACAGCGATGAAGGCACCCTGCCCCCAACTAGAAAGCAGGACCAGAAAACACTGTGAAGATGCGTAATGTCCCTGAAGGAAACACGCACGCACGCACGCACGCACACACCCCTTCTCATAAAAAGGAAAATGAGGGTATTCGCAGAGGGGCTGAGATTCTGCAGTGACCAAAATTCTTCCATCTCCACAGACACGCCCCACATGACCCGAACTCTAGCCCTGCTGGTGTGCTCACGCCTTTGCCCTCACTGTCACCGTCACCAACAGCACAGAGCCCAGGGCCTAGAATCAGGAAGACTGGGGTTCAAATCCAGCCTCAGATACTAGGTGGGTGACCCTTCGCATTCACTTTAACCAGTCTGCCTGAGTTTGCTCAGCTGTAAAATGGGGATAATAGGACCTACCTCATGGGGTTGTTTTGAGGATCAAATAGGATAACACTATAAATGCTTTGCAAACCTTAAAGCACTATATAAACGCTGGCTGTTATTCTCTTAATTCTGAATGGAATGCCCTCTCTCCACATCATCCGTGGCCTTCTTAAATTTTTAATTTGTCCCTCAGGACTCCTCCCAAACCGCCTCTTTACTCCCACTGTGACTTCTGGTCCCTGGTCTCCGCGTCCACTTCTCCTGCGTGGGTTTTCCTGGCCTCGTGACTGCCCATGTCTGGCCCTCCCACTCCCCAACACACTTTAAAAGTTATCGCCTCCTCTCCATCCACCTCACCCCTAGGCCTTGCTTTTACCCACCCACCATTCCTAAAATTGCTCGATGGCCTCTCTATCCCCAAAGGCCAGCCTTCCTCACCCTCAGGACAGATATGATTCCCCTCCTAGGTCTTTCTGCCCCCTCCAGGCCTGGATCCCACAAGGTTTGGGTCTGTGGGCCCTCTTCTTTTTCTCTTTCCATCTGTAATTCCACTTACTTTATGGTTTAATTATCACCCACTCCCTCCCTTATCTTCAGCCCTGATCCCTCCCTTCCCAATTCATCCCACATTTAAGTCAATGTAAGAAAAATGTTCGGGGAGCAAAAAGCAGCCCCACCCCACTCTCCTCCCCAAAAGTACACCATGCAAACCTACTCTCCAACCACAGAAAATTAAACAATGTCCTCCTCCGAGTTCCTTTAGGACAGGTGCCCATGAGGGCAGCACCCAATGTTCCCTCTCTAACAAAGGTCCCAGCGGGTATTGTTGCTCAATCCGATAAAGGTCTCACAAGGTCCTGCTGCCACATACATTTATAATGTCTTGAGCATTAGCCTGGAAAGGCAGTCCTCGCATGTGAACGAAATGCACTGAAGGCATGGTTCCAAAATCAGCAGCCTCAGGAGTCTTCTCGGGGGCCTCCTTGGGTAATTCTGGGGGAAAACAAACCCCCAGCGTAATTTCAGGACATAAGAACATTAACAAGGCACACCTCCCCACTCACACACAAAAAGCCACAAACTAGCAGTACGCGGGTCCGAGAATACCAGAGTCATAGACAGAGCTGGAAGAGACCCAAGATGGGAGACTTCACATAAAAATCCCCAAATACTGCTGAGCGTGAGGGGTGCCAGGGACACTGAGGACCAAAGAAGGAAAGGCAGGCCACCTCAGGGCACCACAGCCCCTGACAGAATGGTTCAGGTTCGGCCACCTTCTGGAGGTCACTATGTGAAGTCAATGAACTCGGCACACGCCTGCCATTTTGGGGTCACCTGTCGGGTACCGGTGACGACAGGGAACAGGGTCACTGGCTCTGAGTCACGGCTAAGGAACACTTTCTTCCTTACAGACAACAGAAAAAGTCATTAAGTGGCACCAAGAGAATAGGTAAGTTCACTCCTAAAAGGATGTCAAATGTTTCTCTCAGCCCAGATCTCCGGGCAGCCCCAGCATGGCCAGTAGGCAGAGCTCTAACCTCAAATCTCATTACCTCCCCTCAGCTTCTCTGGCTCATTTTTTAGTGAAAGACCTCAGAGAGTGTGGCCACGAGTTCAAGGGAGCAACGAGCCCAGGAAAGCTCATCACCCACGTTTACACTGCATGAAGGCACGCATCGGCTGTTTCTGTCCCTGCCGGGTGCACGCGAGCAACAAACGTGTCACAGCCGGGCACAAACTATGGACACCCACCAGACCCCTCAGACTCACCCATTTCCTTTTCATTTTCAAACGCGGTGATTGATCGGAGCTCCTCACTCCCATCAGGCTCTTCAAAGTTCAATTCTGGTTCAGTCCCATACTTGGCCAGGGAAGGCCCTGTTTTCTTTCCTTTGTGGGATCCAACGTGTGTTCGGACTTCACTCCTTCTGCTCGGGAAGATTTCTATGTACCTGATTCAAAAGCCCACAGGAGCAAGGACACTTAATACCAAGACGCTTCACCTAGATGCTGGCGCTACAAGGGGGTGGGGTGGAGAAGAGTAGCACAAGGGAGCAGGGGAAAGCCTTGAGCACCAGCAGGCCACATCCCACAGCCCGAGGCGGGAGCTGCTTTGAGACATCCAGGACACCCTATGGCTGGACACATACATACTCACACATATATACATGGGATGCAAACCACACACACGCATACACCACAGTGCAGTACACATCCTGCCTAAAACAACACACACCACATGTACACACACCAGCATGCATACACACACACACACACACACACACCACACACACATCGACACACATGCATATCCCTTGGAAGGGGACACGAGTTACTTTTTGTTTGCTCTCTCTCACTTGATTCTACTTTGTGAAATGCTAAGGATTTTATCCTTCATGTTGTATGTACATTTAGTTACCAGCTTCTGTTGATTACTTTGTAAAGAGGCATGTGCCCCAGATGTCCTGGTGCTTCAACGGCATCAAGACTTCTGGGACACACACTCCACCTAAACAGAGGCAAGAATAAAGAACAAGCCAAACCTGCTTGTCCGGTCAGCAGAGCCCGAATATCACTGAAGACCAAGAGGCAGGGAGTGAAGGCACCCTGGCCGGGATAGCTAGCCACCTCATCTGCCCCCAAACCAGCCTGGGACAGGCCCTGGGAGCGGGTGTGCATGGCCGGTGAGGACAGATGTGAGGAAAGAGGAGACAGCAGGACACCCGAGATCCCCTTTTCTTCTTCTGCATCAGTCCCAGGTGTTTATTAAATTAATACACCACTTTTAAAATACAGACAGAGCACAGGAGAGACCGCCCTCTCCGGTTGCTGTAGCAAGCCCCAACAAACACCTCAAAGTCACCGATCAGTCCCACCCTCTCCACCTGGTCAGACAGAGGTCACCTCCCGGGGCTGCCACAGGGTGGTCCGTTCCCTCCTCTCTCCTCACGTCCCATAGTCAGCCACTGCCCACAAGCTTCCTGGCCCTCCTGCCCGTCCAGAGCTGGTCTCCCTTCCCTGACTGAAAACCACAACAAATCCAGGAGGGTTTGGGGCCGGCCTACCCCATTGTCCTGGGGGATTACAAGAAGGAAAAGCCCAGAGATGTTAAGTCCAGTGTCCTCAATGGCAGCTCCCTTGTCACCACTGATTTTTTTTACACCTCTAATTACAAGAGGCCACACGGTGTCGGGCAGAGCCTGGGTATGAATCCTACCCGCGACCCGCCCTCGATGAGTGGCCCCAGACCATTCATTCAACCTCTCTGGGCCTTGGTTCCCTCATCCACATGGTAAGGTTGGGCCTGACAACCTCTAAGGTCACACCCAGCTCTCAATCTACGGTCATCATACACAAGCCCAGCTGTGACCTTTCTACAAGGGGCTCCCTGTGCCGCCTGGTCTACTTGTCCCGCCACTTCTGAGGTCTGCCACAAAACTCAGTGAACAGGAAAAAACAAGTTAAAATGAAAAAGTGTAAACAAAAGCAAAAGGCCACACTGCCAAGACACTGCATGAAATTTAATCCAGTTCTGTTGAAAAAAACCAAAAGCCTCCCACTCAGAAGAGCCGGCATTTATATAGTATTTTAAGGTTTGCAAAAGATATAGATCATTGCAGCTGATCCTCACCACAGCGGGGGGGGGGGGGGAGGAGGCAGAGGTTATCATTCCCATTTCACAGCTGAGGACACCAAGGCAGACAGGGGTTAAGTGACTTGCCCAGGGTCAAACAGTCGGCAAGCGTCCAAGGCAGGATTTGAAATCAGGTCCTCCTGGCTGCCTTCCTAGCTTTGTACTCTGACACAATATACTGTTGTCCTGGAGGAGCTGCGTGAAAGGCCAACAACCAGCTAGCTGTGTACAGATCTGACACACGCGCATGAAGGCGAAACGCAGGCGGCCACGTTCCTCTCAGGACAGAAGGACCTCTTGTGCGCGTCCCCCCATCGGGCCAGGGTCCCCTCACTCACCGGTTCCCGATCTCTTCCTTGTGTTTCAGCATAGCTTGGTTGGCCATTTCCGGTTCTTCAAACTGCACGTAGGCTTCCCCTGTTTTCCTTCTCCCTCGGTGGTCCATGACAAATGTTATGTCAACTATACTCAGACCTGAGAACCAAAAAATTATTCCAATCTGCTGCCCCTAACTCACTTGTAGGGTAAAAAAAATTAACCTAAGTCACTTTGCTTCTCATTACTGCCTTCACCTGTGGATCTGTATGATCTGACCAATCAATGAACATTAATTAAGCCCCTGCTGTGTGCCTGCCCCATAATAGGATACATCATTATGGGAGTTTTAGACAAGCCAGCAAAAACTAGCCATGGTCTGATGGAGGAGGGTGACTCAAGGGGCAGCTGGACAGCCATCGTTTTGCCACAAGGCCACAGTGGGGATTAGTGGGGATTAATTTTGCTTGGCCACGCTCATCTGTTACAGAATTGTTTTTAGTAGAGGAAGGAGAATGACAAGCAACAGCAGTGCCCAAAATAAGAAAGGAAAAGAAGGGTCATTCTAGCATTTCAAAGGATGCACAGGAGAAAACAGGAGGGTCAGAAAGAGACAAGGGCAGACAGGATGTCTTTGAATCAAAGGGTTTAATTTTTAAAAAAATTTGACCTGTACCTAACAGACTCACGGCTTCACGTACAATCCTCTTTTTCTGTTCTGAGTACATGGAAATGCTTATGTTAGTGACTCTGCAATAACCAAAGCGTAATCATTTAAATTAAAAACTAAACAAATCCAAACCTAGTCTCTATTGGAGGAAAGCTGAGTGAGGGTGGGGACTCCCGGGGATAGCTGCTCCCTTCTCGCCCCAACTCTGGGCTCTGCCCCTACAGGGCAGCCCGGCCTGGGGAACATGAATTAAATGTCAGCCTCGAGAAAGACGACCTGCTATTTGAAGCCCAGGCCTGAGATTTCAGGGCTGTGCAACCTCGGGCAAGTCACTTCACTGCCTTCATTTCCTCATCTGTAAAATGAGGGGACTGGCCTATCCGCTCTCAAGGCCCTTCTGCCTCTCCGCGCTTAGCATTCTCTCTCCCTGGTCAAGTCCACAGCAGGGAGACACAGCAGCTGTTCCCACGCAAGGGAACCGAGTACGTGAGACTGACGGAGGAAATAAATAAGGGTGAAACTGTCATGCAAAAAAAGAAGACCAATACTTGGGTAAAAACAAGGTAAAAATGAGACAGGGCAAGCCACTTCTGAATTACAAAATGTCAGACAGAGCCAGGCACCAAACGTCCTCAGTCCTTCTCTGCCTAACACAGGCCACTCTCAACTCACGACTTTTCATATCAGACTTACTCTAGAAAAGGTGGTTAAAAATTAGCCAGCTCATGGCCAACATGACAAAACAGAAAATGATAAATGTTGGAGAAAATGTGGGAAAATTGGAACACTAATGCATTGTTGGTGGAGTTGTGAAATGATCCAACCATTCTGGAGAGCAATTTGGAACTATGCCTAAAGGGCTATAAAAATGTGCATACCCTTTGACCCAGTAATAGCACTTCTAAGGCTATATCCCAAAGAGATCATACAAACGGGGAAAGGACCCACATGTACAAAAATATTCATAGCAGCTCTTTTTGTGGTGGCAAAGAATTGGAAATTCAGGGGATGTCCATCAATTGGGGAATGGTTGAACAAGTTGTGGTATATGAATGTAATGGAATACTATTGTGCTGTAAGAAATGATGAACAGGCTGACTTCAGAAAAACCTGGAAAGACTTGTATGGTCTGATGCTGAGTGAAGTGAGCAGAACCAAGAGAACGTTGTACATAGCAACAGCCACGTTGTGTGATGACTAATACTGATAAACTTAACCCTTCCTGGCAATACAAGGATCTAAGACATCTCCAGAGGCCTTGTGATGGAAAATGCTATCCACATCCAAAGAAAGAACTATGGAAGTCAAATTGCTATTTTTTTTTCTCTTCTGTTGAGTTTTGTTTCCTCTTTCTGATGGTTCCTCCTACTGGTTTTAATTTTTACTTACATCACTAATGTGAAAATATGTTTAATATGAATGTATATGTAACAGCCTATATCAGATTGTGTGCCGTTTTGGGGAGAGTGGTGGGAAGGAAGGGGGAGAAAAATTTTAAACTCAAAAGCATATGGAAGTGATTATTGATAAATAAAAATAAATTAATAAAAAAAATTTTTTTAATCAAAAAAAAAAAAAACCAAAAACAAACCAACCCCCCCCAAAAAAATTAGCTAGCTCTACATGGACTTCCAGGACTCATTTCTCTTGTACCTCCTGAAATCTCTGGGTATCTTAATGTTATGATTAGGATGATTAGTGGCACATTATTGGTATTTAAAGGAATGGAAAGAACAGCTGTAAAAACGTGAGTGAGAGGGCAGTTAGGTAGCGCAGTGGATTGAGCACCGGCCTTGGAGTCAGGAGGACCTGAGTTCAAGTACGGCCTCAAACATATAACATTCACTAGCTGTGTGACTCTGGGCAAGTCACTTAACCCCAATTGCCTCACCAAAAAAAAAAAAAAAAAAATTATAGGGGCAGCTAGGTGGTGCAGTGGATAGAGCACCTGCCCGGGAGTCAGGAGGACCTGAGTTCAAATACGGCCTCAAACATATAACATTCACTAGCTGTGTGACCCTGGGCAAGTCACTTAACCCCAATTGCCTAAAAAAAAAAAAAAATTAAAAAAAAAAGTGAGTGAGAACTTAGGTGGACACAATTTCTTCCCTAATTGAAGCAAAAGAAAAACTGCCCCGGAGGACTGGAAAGAGAAATGACAATGATGGTGTGGCCGTGGGGGACAGGCACCCATACACTAGGAGGGGAGCTGCACATCTGTCCAGCTGTCCTGAAAAGCAATCTGGGAAAGTCACTAAGCTGTACACAAAAACCTCTGGCCCAGGGATGTCCCTTAATAAGCATACACCCCAAAGAGAGCAAAGCAACAAAGGGCCCCGAGGCCCCAAACAACCCACAGCAGGACTTCTCGTTGAAGCGAAAAGCTAGAATCACAGTGGGCGCCATCAACGAGGGACTGGCTGAAAACACCGAGGGATGTGAACACAACAGAATGTTACTATGCCACAGGCTGATGCAGAAAATCCCAGGAGGCCTTGGACAAATGGAGGCAGAGCGAACTGAGCAGAACCAGGAGAACTAGGGCCCACAGAAGACCTGAGGATGATGCCTGGGCCACTGACTCTCCAGGACACTGAGGATGACTCAGGCTCCCTGCCTCCAGCAGGGGGGTCAGGGACTGGAGGTGCAGGCAGCATGAGACACAATATGATTTTGTTTTGTGTAACTATACTTTTTTTTTTTTGTGCTAAAGAGAGCTTTTATTTTGGGAAAGGGGGACAGAGAGAATAAAGAGTCGTGATAGAGATTTAAGAAAAAACACCCAGGTTTCCAAAGAGAACAAGTAATATTTCCAAAGGAGAACACCGGCCAACATCTGAAAAGCAACTGAAATGCCAGGTATGATTTCTCCTAAGGAAAACAAGCTATTCATCCAGGAAAAGGCTTGGCTGGGCATGACAGGGGAAAGGGGGCAGCGAAGAGAGCAGGATATGGCGCTGGACACAAGGTGAGGGTCGAGGCACCTGCAAAGAAATCCACAATGTCCTTCTCACTGCAGCTGTACGGAAGTCCTCTCAAACGGACCACGCCATCGTTTACCACGGGGCTCGACTTGGCCTGCAGGCTCTTCATTAAGGCGTCCACATCTTCATTGTTTATTTCATAAACTACAGAGGGGAAAATGCCAGCAGATGCAGAAACACTTACCACCCACAAAGCAAGAGACCACCAAGTCTATGGTCTTCACATCACAGAACCCCAAAACAGACCACCTGAATCTCCACTGCTCTGGGGTTCATGGGCATCCACCCACTTTTAAAGTTTCAAATAGGAGACTAAACTAAAAGTCAACAGCTGTCAAGACAGGAATATTTGTCTCTTATACATTAACTTCTCCTCTAAGAATGGCCCAAGCTTCCAAGCAGGACTTTAAACCCAAAATACCGTACCTAGAAGCACCTATAATAAACACAGAGGGAAGGAAATGTTTTTTGTGACCTTCCAAAATTTCCAAGTCTCAGTGTTTTACAAAGACAAAGGCAGCAAGAGAGCAAACCAAAGTTCATCAGGGAGGGAACAAAGAACATGGCCTAGAGAACAGCCAGCTTCAGAGTCCAAGCCTGGGTTCAAGGCCCACTTCTAATACAGACTGACCGCGTGACTCTGGGCAAGCCACTAATGTCTCAGGACCCTGGACAAATCTCTAAAAATGAGCAGAGCAGATGCCTCTATGCACTGAAGGATATTCCCCACAAGGAAATGCCCCCTTCTACCAATGGAATTACAGGTCTTCTATGACTCCAAAAATAAACTAGTGATTGAGCTGTCATGACAATATTAAAAATTAATGGTTTCTTTAGAGGAAATCCTCTTATAAATTTCTGCTAAACTTTCCTTTTTTCTTCTTCCTTTGTAATCAACTACTGGATTATGGCAAAACCCCTGAAAAAGACATGAGACACGGGTTCTGGTGCCTGCTCCACCGAAAGCTCGTTCTGTGACCCTGGACAAGGTATTTAACCTTCCTGGGCCTCCCTCTCCCCCGCTGTAACACCTGGGTAACCACAGTGCTTGTGCTAGTGACCTCTGACCCAACATCTGGGGAAGGTCAAAGGAGAAGAGGTCTGTGAAGGCAGCGAAGAAGGATGCAGCCAAGGTGGATCTCCCTTACCTTCTACGTAGCGCTGGCCCATGTACAGGTGGTGTTTCTCTAAGGCCTTCTTCACATCCTGCTCTGACTCCAGTTCAACTAATGCATCTCCCCTTCGTTTCCCATCTCTGTTTAAGAGAAAATGGATCCCGTGCTCACCATTTCGGATTCTACAGTCTAAAAATGAGACCAAAGAAGAGAAAGTAAGAAAAAAATGCAAATACAAATCTACCGCTCCATTTCATCTCTATAGCTAGCCCCCACCCCCCCCATGCATACTTCCAACTCCCAACTGCATTCTAGCCAAAATAACAACTGCCTTCCTCTCATGAATTGTACGCACTTCAAAGACCTGTGGATCCTGACGTTGTGGGCACCACCCTTGGCCGCTGGCTCAGTGAATGGAGCACCAGCCCCGAGAGTCAGGAGAACCTGAGTTCATATCCAGCCTCAGATACTTACTAGCTGTGTGAACCCTGGGCAAGTCACTCAACCCCAATTGCCTCCAAAAAAGAAAAAGAGTAAAAAAATTTTGTTTTGCAATGTAGCAACTTGAGGACAAGAACTCCGTTAGATGGGCTTTTTATAATGTTTAATTAGCACAATTATGTGAATGTCAGAGCTTAATATATCCAATAAAATCCTCAAAGTATTTTTAAGGAAGCACTTTCTCCTTAAGGGGACAATGAAAAACTATGGTCCAACTGAACAGATGTGAACACAAAAAAACCTTCCCAGCGGCAACTTCTCACAGGGATTTTATGCTACTTGGCAATTATCCTGTCTTCTCATGGCACACTCTGTGCAGGAAGCATTCTTTGGAACCTACCTGGTCACTTTCTTCAGACTTGTGTGTGTGTACATGTGTGCACGTGAACCCTAAGTCTAGAAAAATCAAAGAAAATGCAGTAAAAACCAATTTATCTATCATCTTTCAATCAGAAATCTAAATGGATAGTTTCAACAAAAATAGGGATATCTTTGTTGATGCTGCTAAAAAAACAAAAGCAGCTTCTGAAGTGTTTTAAAGAAAAAAAAAAAAAGGTTCCATTATGTTCCTCCAGCCAGGAGGGACCAAAAACTCTGAAACGAGCCAACAGAAACAATCATGAGACAGCCGGTTTTGTCAAATGCTCTCACTGCATACAGTTGTGTAGGATTCAAACATCTCATCTCTCACTCAATGTGGCTTAAGCATTAAATGTATTTTATCACATTCTAATTCTCTGAAAATTGATGACTATGTAGCACACAAGATAATTCTTAATACATGCAGATAATTAAAGAGGACATCATCTTCCCCCACGTACTATGTCAACACTTAATGTGTGCCTGAGATTTATGTGGTTTTGTTTCTAATGGTACAAACTCCATGTAGATGCTACCTAATGAAACAGAACTGTCTTTAAAACAGGTCTAAGATATACCAGAGAAAAACTTCAGCACATCTTCCACAGTGCAGGACCATGGCAATCCTTGGGCTCGAATGAGATAGATGTCATCTTCCTCATCTCCTAACTTGGGTGAAGCTGGGTCATACTCAGAGAGTGGGGGGAGGGCTTCCAGATAGGTATTAGACTCCTTCAAAGAGAAAGGAAAAACGTACAGCATGTTCTTGGTGACCTTTTCATATTAACATTTCTGGAAATCAAAGACCATAGATGAGTTAATGGTCAAGAAACAAGATGGCAGCACACAGGACTGATCCGTCCCTCCCTTTTCACCACTTGTTGCATACAAAGTCACATATGGCCTAAATTTCACTCCAGACTGTTTTGGAACGAATATCTTTACCATATTCCTGGAGCAGCTAGGTTATACAGTGGATAGAGCATCAGCCCTGGAGTCAGAAGGACCTGAGTTCAATTTGGCCTCAGATACTTACTAGCTGTGTGACCCTGGGCAAGTGACTTAACCCCAACTGCCTCCCAAATACATACACATACACACCCACCCCCACACACCCACCCACCCACATACACACATACTCTCTCTCTCTCATTCCTGATGGCCCTGGCACTTCAGCAAATTAAAGGAAGCATGGGTAAGAGTCACTGAAAGGACAAGAATGTCTGTATCACACCTGCATGGACAAAAATGCCTCTCCTTTAAGAGATTTTTGACCTTTATGGCACAGAAGGGCCAGGGATGGGCAGGGGACCTGCCCATGAAAGGAGCTGGAATGAAGCAGAGCTTCATGGTCACTTATTAAATAGACAGTGTGCATTTGCTATGTACAACACCATTCTACAAAAATATTAAGGCCAGAGTCCTTGACCTCAAGGACACTGCCAGTGACCAGGACAAGAGACGTCACAGAAAATTAATGGCATGCTGGGAGAAGCCAGCCCACCAAGCCCTAACAGCAAAGTTCCAAGGAGATTCAGACCCAATTGATCATAAGCCTGGCAGAGAAGGATTGCTAGTAAGTGGCCTGCTCTTCCCAAGGCCATGGCCCTCCAGGCCGTTTGGCTTCCTTGTTTACCCTTCTGCAAGAGCCAGGACAGCCAAGAGGAAGCAGTGGGGTGTCCTGGCAAGAATTTGGAGTTGGGAAGACCCAAGTTTGAACCCCACTCCCAAGCTGTGCAACCTGGAGCAACTCATTTGTCCGCCCTGGTGCTTAGCCTCAAGTGTCAAGTGGAGGCACCTGCTATAACAGAAAGAGCATGGCCCTGGGTTCAAATTCTACCTCCAACATCTTACTTGTGTGATCTTAAAGTCACTTACAGTTGTTTTCTCACTTGCCCCTTAGTTCCTCCAGCTCTGACCTGTGACCTCGTGTCCTAAGTAGGGAGTTGGGCTGGACGCACCTCTGGGGTCCCTTTCAGCCCTGACCTGTGACCCCATGTCCTAAG